TGCATTGCCCTTTAAAGACATGATTTGGGCATAATGGATTTGTGTTGTGCTGCTGCTGGCCCTTTAAGAACCATCTGGGACATACTGTGGAGTTACTGGGTGGCCACCATTTCCTGTATCAGAGGCACATGGTGAGAACAATGGATGAAGCACATGGTGAGAACAATGGATGGCGGCCATTTTAACTCATAGACACTGTTTGGACTTTTCAACACGGTGCCATCTCACCAGTATTTGGTGCACAGAGACATCGTGCAGTGGTTTTGGACTATACAACAGGGGACACATTATACAGTAATTGTTTTTCATTTAGCCTGCATATGTTCTGCAGAATCTGCATTAAACTGTATCTTCCAAAGTACTGAACGGATCTGGGTGAATTTTGGATATGTGGTTCACCCAGATCCCCCGGTTCCAAGGATATACTTTGTATGGGGTTATTGCATGTTTTGGGGTCCCTGTGTTGTGTTTTATAATACTGTATTTCTCTGTCTGTGATAATTAGATTAACCATTGTGTTCAGTAATCATATTACAGGCAGAGTGGAGTATTTTGTGTGGGAGTGTCTGTGTGTATTGTACGGATTGATTGGCTGTGTTTCAAAACCCTGTGGGCAGTACTAAGTTTGTGGATTGGGAATAAAAGAGGCTGTATGTGCCAGTCTAGTCAGTTCCTGCTTAACCCTCAAAGTGAAGTGTCGTCTCATTATTGGGGGAGGATTTATTGTATGCTGTTCCAGTTTGACTGCTAGGAGTGTAAACCTATTCGCATGGTTTTTCCTATTCGGCTGTATACAACATTCATATGCTTCTCCGGTTCGGTGGTTGTGGTGACTGCTGCAGTGCTTGGAGTGCTCAGGAAGCGCTAGGAGCATCCTTCAACGGAGGTACCCAGTCGGGGTGCCAGGTGATCCGTTAAAGTGGCTGTCTATAAAAAACTGCAATAATTAAACTTGCAGGGTTAAGAGTAGTGGGAGTTGGCACCCAGACCACTCCAATGGGCAGAATTGGTCTGGGTGACTACAGTGTCCCTTTAAAAATCACTGTTTAGTTTCCTTTTCTTTGAAAAGATAGTGTTTACAACAAAATGTCAACGGCCTGGTGAAGACACCAGAACAGCTACAATATGCTGTAGTTGTTCTGGTGAGTATAGTGTCCCTTTAAAGTGATAAGGTCACAGTTTCTAGCCTTCCACTCAAATACTAACTAAAATTAAAAACACTAAAAAACCTACATAATTATTCAAATACAATAATCATCACCTCCTCGCCCATTTACTTAATGTTAAAAGAAAATCATGTATTTCAATAGGATTACTTTATGTTCACCTTTTTTTGTTAGAGTTAAAGTCATTGAGGCAACAAAAGGATATACATCAAGTATTTAATAGTCAATACTAAATAAGGTATTTTCGTAAGCAGGTGCAATAGTGTGATGATGGTTGCCATCATAAAATAAACTGTGACAATAGAAGTTTGTGTGTAAGTTCTCAGTGATTACTTTTCTAGCAACTTGTTTCATTACCCCTACTTATACCCTTTGTGTCACTATACCCCACTCCCTCTAGCATGCAAGCTCATTGAGCAGTGCCCTCAACCCCTCTGTTCCTGTGTGTCCATGTGTCTGCTTACAATTACGTGTCGGTTAGTCCACCCATTGTCCAGTGCTACGGAATTTGCTGGCGTTATATAAATAATAATAAAAAAAATAACTGTGCAGGTAACTACAGTGAAACAACTAAAACTGTTAACAAGTAAATGTAGAACCATAAGCCTCTAGGGTTTTGGAGTATTAAAGTGCCCAAGAGTGTCTCTTCAATAACTTCCAGGAAAAGAATGTCATTTGTAAAATAGAACAATATAAAATTAAAAGATATAGGACTATGTAAATGTTTGCACGTTACATATTTATTACAAATTTGCTTTAAACCATATTTTCATGGCATAACCTGCTTTGCCCTCCTGACACAAGGCAACCAGGGGCATGAACCACAAACGTCCAATGATGATGTATCGAAGCTTAACCGGTTTCCAAGAATATTTAAAAGATAAATCTACATTGAGTGTGTGAAGTCGCTGTAATAGATGTGTATGCAGAGAGAACTAGTCGAAATTGTAATGGTCTTTCTAGTTAGTCTAGACTAGAGTATAACAGTAATAAGCCACGAGACGGTGGTCCATGATGTTGAGAAGATTGATCCCTGGATGGCTTTTGGGGTCTTCTAATTTTCTCAAATGATATCTCTGGGCGTTCAAAAAGATCACTTACCATATAACAATCTGAAACTCGACTCATGTCAGGACGACAGTCTTATTCCATGCCTTGTATGGTTGTGGTGTAAAGCAAAGGTGTGCATCCTCTTGCAGATAGTTTCCAGACCAACAACCAATAGCAGTGTCCAAAGCCTTGACATTTCAAGTGACACTCTAAACACCATCACCACTAGAACTCACAACAGTGGTTATGTTGCCTAGCTTTTTTTGGGACCATGCCAGTTTTAAAGGACCACTATAGTGCCAGGAAAACACTCGTTTTCCTGGCACTATAGTGCCCTGAGGGTGCCCCCACCTTTAGGGTCCCCCTCCCGCCGGGCTCTGGGGAGAGGAAGGGGTTAAACACTTACCTTTCTCCAGCGCCGGGCGGGGAGCTGTACTCCTCCTCTCGTCCTTGCTCGCGACGTCATCGGCTGAATGCGCATGCGCGGCAGGAGCCGCGCGCGCATTCAGCCGGTCGCATAAGAAAGCATTTAAAATGCTTTCCTATGGACGCTGGCGTCTTCTCACTGTGATTTTCACAGTGAGAAGCACGCAAGCGCCTCTAGCGGCTGTCAATGAGACAGCCACTAGAGGCTCTGAAGGCTGGATTAACCCTCAGTATAAACATAGCAGTTTCTCTGAAACTGCTATGTTTATAAAAAAAAAAAGAAAAAAAAAAAAGGGTTAATCCTAGAGGTACCTGGCACCCAGACCACTTCATTAAGCTGAAGTGGTCTTGGTGCCTAGAGTGGTCCTTTAAGTCAAACCATTCAGAAATAGTTTCCTGTAGACCAGGGTACTTCACAGCACCATGGGACCATGCTTATCTCTGCTGCATACTAATGCACAATGAACATTTACAAAGTATAAATTGTAAATTCTGTCCAGCCAGATTGCTGTACTAAATGGCACTTGTCTTGCGTATGACTGATAACAATGAAACCTGTAGTATTAAGAGTTCAATATTAAGTCTACCTTGCCATTCATTACCCACACCTATCAGCCATCATGCGGTCTGTTACCAAAAGGCATCTTGTGCAATTTCAGGATACATGCTAGAAGATAAGTGGAAGGAAACAGATAATGGCAGGTGCTCTGAATTTTTTATAGACAAACATTTTGTAGTCTTGTGAATCAACAGGAATAACATGGTGCCATGAAAAATATAGGCATCGCACAGACTAAATAAGTTCTAGTGCCTTATCAAGTTAACACAGATGGAATAGAATATGGTATACGTTTACAATGGCACAATAAATGTTGAACATCTTGAATGTTTTAGAATGTAGGTGCCATAGAAGTTTTTAGTTCATAATAGAGCCATTTTTGGCACAGACCTCATAAAGTATATCTTCTTTTGAAAGTATATTTATATTTTTCCTGTCTGCTAAACTGACATCTGAAATGTTATTTTCTCCCAAATTTCAAGTAACTCCCCGCTTCTTTGCCATTATTGCAAGTACAGAGGTAAGCAGGAGAGTTACCCTAAAGCAAAAAGCTCAACAGTCTTTGTGTTTGTGCATGAACAGTGCAAGGCATACTTTAAGAGCTGTAACAGGTATTCTTGTGCAGAGTCCCACAGGCTAGCAGGTACAACAAGCCTTTTGTGTGTGTCTGAACGCACGCCAAAACGTCTGCCTTTGTATTGAACAAACCTGTTTTCAACTGATAACAAAAGCCCAAGTTGTGAAACCTTGCAGTCAGGCCTCTGAATAACAGCTGCTGCTCCCCAAGAAATGCCAGTAACAGAGCGAGTATCTCATACGTCATTACAGTCAACAGTTCTGAAATCATGGCAGCTCTCACCCTTAATTATGACATTTTAACAATTTTGTTATAACTTAGAAAAAGTCCCCCTATTCCGCATATATTTATAATGTGTTGGTAATGTGCATTTACCTTTTTTTATTTTAATTTATTGCTAATTTCTAATACTGTATTTTATTATTGTTTTTTCTTTCTAGAATCTCATTCCATTACATGTGTGCCTTTCTATTCTATTTTTGTTTCTCATTTTCCTTGTAACATCTACTAAATGTTAATCTAAATATCTTAACGCTACAGATATCTAATGAAATACTTTCTGAATTTTAGAAAAACAGCAATCACACTTAAATAGGTATTGTTCCTTAATCCTTTGGCCTTGTCAAGCTCTTCAAAATAGGTGGGGTTTTTTTTTTGTTGTTTTTTAAACCAAAATAAAAAGTATTGCACATTTACAGCCAACACTTAATTCATCTGCCAAACATGCAAACTATTGACAGTATGTGTGTGTGGGAGATCTTTAACCCCTTAGTGACCAGACCGCTTTTCAATTTTCTTACAATTTGGGACAGGGGCTGTTTTTACATTTCTGCGGTGTTTGTGTTTAGCTGTAATTTTCCGCTTAATCATTTACTGTATCCACACATATTATATACTGTTTTTCTCGCCATTAAATGGTCTTTCAAAAGATACCATTATTTTCATATCATAATTTACTATAAACAAAATTATATATAAAAAAAAAAAAAAAAAAACACATTTGACCCCCAAAATCTGTTACGCATCTACATCCACCAAAAAACACCTGTGTTAAATAGTTTCTAAATGTTGTCCCTTATTTTAGGGCAATAAGTACAAGTAGCACTTTGCTATTACCAAACCATTTTTTTCCCCAAAATTAACAAAAGTTACATTGTAACACGGATATCGGTCAGGAATCCCTGAATAACACTTCACATGTGTGTGTGTGTGTGTGTGTGTGTGTGTGTGTGTGTGTGTGTGTGTGTGTGTGTGTGTATATATATATATATATATATATATATATATATATATATATACACACACACACACATACATACACACACATACATACATATATACACACACACACATACACACACACATTTTTTTTTTTTTAAAGAAGACAAACTAAGGTATTAAACTTGGGGTATTTTGACTCTTTTCATGCAACCATTTTACCACCAATCTATGCCAAAAAAAAATTGGAGATTTTTTTGACACATAGCAATTTAAGAATACATGTACGGAGAACTTTAAGGGTTACTGCAAAAGAACATCCCAATATGTGTTCAGCAACATCTCCTGAGTACAGGGATACCACCCATGTATAGGTGTGTCAGGTTCTCTGGGGGCTAAAATACCTTATTTGGAGGGTGCGTATTCCAGTTTTCCAACTTGGAATTTTCACAGCTGGTCATCATGCACCAATGTCCTATTTGGGACATTTTTGAAGCCGGCCAATGTAATTTACCCCCATCAAACCATATACTTTTTAAAAAGTAGACAATCCAGGGTATTCAATATGGGGTATGTCTAGTCTTTTTCATTAGCCACTTAATCACAAAGAGAGCGTATGGTAGCCCAGGAATGAAAATTACCCCCATGATGGCATACCATTTGCAAAAGAAGACAACCCAAGGTATTGCAAATGGGGTATGGTCAGTCTTTTTTAGTAGCCACTTAGTCACAAACACTGGCCAAAGTTAACATTTATATTTGTTTGTGTGTTAAAAATGCAAAAAACAATTATGAACGCGAACTTTGGCCAGTGTTTGTGACTAAGGGGCTACTAAAAAAGACTGAACATACCCCATTTGCAATACCTTGGGTTGTCTTATTCTGCAAATGGTATGCCATCATGGCATCATAATTTTCATTCCTAGGCTACCATACGCTCTCAAAGGCAACATAACCAATCTGGCAAATTTCAATGTGAATAAACGGCCTTATATTTGACCCTCTAACTTTCAAAAACACTATAAAACCTGTAGATGGGGGGTACTGTTATACTCGAGAGACTTCGCTGAACACAAATATTAGTGTTTCAAAACAGTAAAAACATATAACAACAAAGATATCATCTGTGAAAGGGCCATTTTTTGCATTTTTCACACACAAACGGCACTTAGACTGATGATATTGTTGTGACTAATATTTGTGTTCAGCGAAGCTACCTGAGTATAACCGTACCCCTCATGTACAGGTTTTATGGTTTTTTCAAAAGTTACAGAGTCAGTGTTTCAGTTTTTTCCACATTGAAATTCGCCACATTGGTTACGTAAAACGTATTACAACAATGATATCAGTGAAAGTGCAGCTTGTGTGTGAAGAATGCAAAAAACCTCATTTTTACTGACAATATCATTGCTATGATATGTTTTACGATTTTGAAACACTAATATTTGCGAAGTCTACTGAGTAAAACAGTACCCCCCATGTACAGATTTTAGAGTGTCTTGGAAAGTTACAGGGTTAAATATAGATATATTTCTCTGGACTTTCTGCCTGGGTTGTCAGGCAGGTCCCCCAAATTGCAATCAATAAAATATAAAAATATTACATAAATATGCACAGAGAATTTAAATATATATATACATATTTATATATTTGAAGTCTATGTGTATATTTATGAAATGTATGTAATTATGTATATTTTGTATTATTTTTATATACATATATATATATATATATATATATATATATATATATATATATATATATATATATATATATACACACACACACATATTATATATATATATATATATATAATTTCATTCTAAGTATTTTGATATAAAATATATATTAAAGGACCACTCTAGGCACCCAGACCACTTCAGCTTAATGAAGTGGTCTGGGTGCCAGGTCCAGCTAGGGTTAACCCATTTTTTCATAAACATAGCAGTTTCAGATTAACTGCTATGTTTATCAATGGGTTAAGCCTTCCCCCATTCCCTCTAGTGGCTGTCTCATTGACAGCCGCTAGAGGCGCTTGCGTGCTTCTCACTGTGATTTTCACAGTGAGAGCACGCAAGCGTCCATAGGAAAGCATTATGAATGCTTTCCTATGTGACCGGCTGAATGCGCGCGCAGCTCTTGCCGTGCGTGCGCATTCAGCCGACGGGGAGGAGAAGAGGAGGATCGGAGGAGGAGAGCTCTCCGCCCAGCGCAGGAAAAAAGGTAAGTTTAACCCCTTTTTCCCTTTCCAGAGCCGGGCGGGAAGGGGACCCTGAGGGTGGGGGCACCCTCAGGGCACTATAGTGCAAGGAAAACGAGTATGTTTTGGGGACTGTCTGGGCTGTCACACAATCCCCCAGTGAAAAAGAAGACCGATCACCGGCAGGGAAACAACGGCAATTAGGTAAGTACATATGGAGGGAGAGGGAGGGAAGGGGTTAGTTTCTTAAATTTTCTTAATTTTTTTTAAATTTAATTTATTGAGTGCCTCGACCCCTCGAGCCACTCAGCACATGCAGAGCATCAGAAGCCTGCCTGATGGCTTCCAATGCTCTGCTTCACTGCCGGGCGCCACGTAAAGCAACCCGGAAGTGATCGGTGGCCCGGCAGTGAGGGAGGTATACCGTTAAGAGCGGCTGAAAGCGAACGCGGACGTATCAGGTACGTCTGCGGTCCTTAAGGAGCGTTTTTTGTCGGACATACCAGATACGTCTAAGGTCAGGATGGGGTTAAAGATGAACTAACATTGGGGGGCGGAGCTTAGCAGCGAACCTGGATGGCAGCAAGCTCTCTATGCTCCGCTTACAACTACCCAAAAACGGCTGAAATTGCAGAAAAAAAGAGACCTGCTAACCTCGCAGAAAGCAGCTCCCTGAGTGCAGGAACAAGAATGGGCCGTAAAAACAAAAAATCAAAGCCAGACAAGAGCCCACCGGGCCGTGATATCGGGGACCTATTCCGGAGCTCACAGAGGGCCGCATGGGACAAAATGGCGCTGGCGGACGACTGCTCCTCCTATTCCTCAGAGGACATGGCTATTGCCCCGATGGAGAAATCCACTCTGGCTACGAAGCAGGGCCACGTCCCACTGGAGGCCGCCTCAGGCCGGGACCCGGTCACCGCAGCGCAACTTAAGGCAATGTTGGCGGAACTCCGCGCGAACTTGGCGGGTGACCTAGCCCCCCTCAAAAAGGCAGTCGAACATACGACTACCAAACTGGCCCAACTCGAAACTACCCAGAGCGTGCATGATAACCGGCTTAATGTGGTGGAGAAGGGTCTAGCTACTCTGGATCAACATCGGCTAAAGATGGAACGCAGACTTGACACCATGGAGGATCAGAGGCGGAGGTACAACTTAAAACTCAGGGGAGTGCCGGAAAATGTGGGACTGTCGGACTTACCTCACTTTATCAGGCGGTTCTTCGCGGCCCACCTCTCTCCGAAACAAGCCAAGAACATGAGGCTAGACGGTATGTTCCGTCTCCCGAAACCAACCAGCGCACCATCCTCCACTTCACCAGACCTCATCCTCCGCTTCAGCACCCTACAGGACAAGGCCCTCTTGCAAGCCGCGGTGAGGGGAAAGACGCCCATTACCTTTGAGGGCGCCTCACCGCTCATTTTCCCGGATCTAGCTAAGAACACACTCCTGTAGCGCCAATCCTTACGACCACTACTCCAGCAGCTACGCACTAACGAGGTGCCATATCGATGGGGCCCCTCCCGCACGGTCCTAATAACAGCCCAAGACACGACTCTCCGCGCAGAAACATATCAGGAGTTGGAGAACCACTTGCGATCGCTGGGACTCCCCCTTCATGCCACCCCTGAAGGCAGAAACCTGTCACAAGTGGACTTGGCTGCGATCAGGGAGTTCATACCCCGGGCGGCAGGACCCAAGCCCACCGGACCCGTGACCTGACTGTGGCGGATTTCAGTGGCTGCTGAGCCCTCACCCAAGACCCTCTACACAGCCAGGAACTGTCCCAGTTATTTAACCCTACCAATCCTGGTGACCCCACGACCTTGAGTCGGATTTACATTTTCTCGACTGTTTTATAATTACAATTTTATTTTTATTTCTTTTATTTATTATTATTATTGATATGCTTTTATTGTTTCACTTTTGCCATACTTCTATCTATGGTACATGCTTTCAGCTAGCGGGGATACAGAGTCGATTAATATTACTGCCGCTCAGAATAAGACATACTCAGCAGTATCACCCTCTTCACCTGTATACACATGGCATAGATTACACATAAAAACCATCCAGGCGCTTAATGGCAACACTTCAGAAAACCTCTCTTCCCCACCCCTTCCCTACCTTTACATGGCGCACAGGTTCCACTAACTTTTCCTGAGGGAGGGGCATCCACACTAGTCACGGACATACCTACCACCAGCACCGCACTTATGACGAGCAGTTATGTGGCTACACCACTCACACGACGCTTAGGCAGACATACACCACAAAAACAAAAACCCCTCAATTCACGATCACACTCACAAGCTACGCTACGCAACTCCTATTTCTCTTTTGATATATACCCTACTCTCTAATATGATGTTCAAGAAATGCTCAAACAACATAAGCTGTATGAACCCATGTTGATAATTTCTGTGATTTGAGAAAAATAAAGAATTTAAAAAAAAAAAAAAGATGAACTAACATTAACGAGAATTTTTAATATTCTCTTTACTTAGCCTCTATATATTTCATCAATATACACTTGTGAGGTGTGAAAAAATTAAATGAAATCCACATCTTTTTATCAAGGGTGCCAACATCACAGCTCCCTGCCAATCATTGCTCTAAAGCAGTCCCCAAGGCATCTCTACCAGTCCAGGATTTAGGGAATCTGGGTATTTAGAAAGAAAAAAAGCCCTAGACACAACTAGGTAATCCCTAAACCCTGAACTGGTAGGGGTGCATTGAGGACTGGTTTGGGAACCACTGCTCTAAACCCTGTCCTTTGCACATGCCTGTCAGCATAGAGAAAATTTAAAAAACAAATTCCATTTCACCTCTCCATTTGCAAAGTGTGTCCTAGCCATGCTGGGACTGAAGTAGACTGATGTTATTGGCTAAATCTGGACTATAAATTT